ATGTAACTCGAAAATAGAGAATTCTACTGATAAAGCAAACACCTGTGACTTATATCCATAATCATCACAAATTTTTTATTTAACTACCGTAAACTGCCGTATAAAAGACCTGGGTCTCTTACACCCCACCAATATTAAAACCCAATATAAGACCCCGGGTCTAGTACATGGTGGAGAGTTAGTACCATTAGAAGGAAAATTTAAAAAGCATGCATATTTTTCATTCATAGTAGGCAGCCTAGATATTTTAAAAAAAACCGCATTTGGTTATTGTAGATTTTGAGATTCACACCCGGGTCTAGTACATAGGTCTGATATCTGTATACGGCAGTTTACGGTACTATCAAATTTTGATAATATTCGAACGCTTTGTGTTCATTCTTTTTATCGCCGATTTCTTTATATATATTAATGATCAATCATTATTATTCCATCATCACCCATGACTAAAATATAACATAACTCGCTTTAATGTTACCATTTTAGTCATGAATATAATAAACTACGTTGTAGGTATTTAAAAGTGCATTTACGTTAATATTAGTGTTTTCACATATAGGACAATTTGGGATAATTTGAAACAATTTAGGAATTTTAAGACATTCAAAAACAAATCTTTTTATTTTAGGATAATCTGAAACCAACTTTACTAACAGGGATACTTATCGTCATTATGTCATTATTTTAAAGTATGGGTATCAATTTAAAGGCTAGCAAAGTAATGGCACAAAAATTTGGCAGTTCCGTGATTTTTGAGACTATGAACCACAAAATTGTGCTTGTGCATAAAATTATATCTCATGAAAAAGTTAAATATACGATCATTAATTGATATTGAATCTTAACGATCCAATTACAGTACAATCTTAGTTTGCATATAATATTTTCTGTCTGATTTTTTTGATTTCAGGATTGCACTATTACAGTTCAAATAGATTATGTATATGCGTTTAAATAAAATTTTAAATATTAAAAGTAACTTCACGCGTGACAAATCTGTACCGTATTACATAAATAAAAAAAGTTTTTTTTTTGTCTTTATGCTTTTTGGCTTATTAAATTTCACTGGACCTCATTGGAGCTTCCATCCAGTGGTGTAAAAATATGACTGGAAGGGCCTAGTGACAACTTACCACTGGAACCTAAATATTTTCCAGTTTTATCCAGTTAGTTCCAGTAATCTTTCTAGTCCCAGTGAAATTCGCTGGACCGGTCTAGCAACAATACTGTACTAGAATATTTGTAAGTTTGTTATTTTTCACAAGATTTCACTAGATTCTTATCTGATTGATACTTAAATTAAAGTTTGGATTTAGAATTAGTAGCTGCCTAACATTAAGTAGTTTCTTTTTTTCTTAAAGAACTGACTTTCCTCTTTTTGTTAGATCTTCGTTAGAATATCGGCAAAGGGTCTTGGAAAACCTCAAAATTGAAGGTTAAACGACGAAAAGTCGAAATTGGTTGAAATGGCATATGCTGAGCTGGCGAAAAGTTAAAAAAACGGCAAAGGTACTGAAACTGTCGAAAGTTATTGATCTGCTGAAGATCTTGAAGCTATTAAAAGGAAAGTTCTCGAAATGGAAGAAAGTTGCGAAACCGTCAAGAATCTTGAAACTAGTGAAGTGGCTTAGTAATATTGATGAAAATTGTATAATATGTAAAAGTATGATTATTGCAGTACTGAAATTACGAAACGTTAAATGATCTTCCGATCCGAAAATTAGTTATAAGGTTTAATTATAAACTTTCTTACGTTCGTTTTTAATGTAATATCAGAAATAGTTCGCCTTAATCGAGTATCTAACCATCGCGTTTAAACATAAAGATTATATTATTAGCAATAGTTATCAAAAAAATTTGTGATGATTATGGATATAAGTCACAGGTGTTTGCTTTATCAGTAGAATTCTCTATTTTCGAGTTACAT